CTCTGGGAATCTAATATGCATCATGGTGACTATAGTTAATAATTACGTGTTGCATAATTAGAATTTGCTTAAGAGAATAGACCTTAAGCATTCTCACCACACATTCACACACACAAACACACCAGGTTGCTATGTGAGGAGATAGATATATTAATTAACCCAGTTGTGGTAATCATTTCACAAATTATACACATGTCAAATCATCACATTGTATACTTTATATATATGCAAATGAATATGTACAAAGTATATACAATTGCAACTCACCAAAGCTCCAAAAAAAGGTGGGAAATCTGGTAAATGAATGTGTTAGTGAATGAATGAACAACACAATGAATGTGAAGTGAGTATGGAAAGAATAAGATTTAATTTAGGCTAAGAAAATGTCAGGGTTCACTCCAGGAGGCAGAACGGAGAAGCGAAAATACAGTAGAGGGAATAGGAGAGGATCCCAGAAAGTCAGTAAACAAGTAGCCTAACTAAAAATGAAGGGTCGTGTAAGAGAAAAAAAAGAGCCGTGTGATTAAATTATGTAAAATCAGTTGATTTAACACCAGAGTTCGATCCAGTAGATGTTAGGAAGATGTTCTATTCTTCCAAGCAGGGAAGCAAGGCTATGACTGGAACACAGAAAAACTAATCTTCAGAAATAAACAGACAACTGAAGCTCCTAGCTAAATATGGGCCAAGGGAAATGGTTTAAACCAGAGAAGGAAACTAGATTAGGCATTAAAAGGTCAGTATGTGAAAAATTTATGAAATATTTCCTAGAGTCCTTAGAAATCTATCGGTGAAGTTTCTGCTATAAGGCAAGGGAATTATTTGGATCCCTTTTTCAAGGGCAGCTTCTCACCACAGTTATTGTTTTCTCTGATAACAAAAACCAAATATGCTAACTAAATATGAATTAGTAGTATGGAATTCCAAAATGTGTTCAACGCCTAGAATAGGTTGAAACCATTACAGACCATTCAATACCACTAACAGTAAATCGACTGAAGGAGAAGAGACAGAGGAAAGGAAGGAGAAGAAGGAAGAGGAAAATGAAGACTGATAGAAACTGAAATGTTTTATCTATACCATGTCCTTCATCTAAGCATAACTAAGAACGTGTTTCTTCAAAGTGATTGGCAGTTATCAGGCACTCCTAATATCTGATTTTCTGGCAGAAAAGCAGTTTGGGAGCCACTGGGTAAAAGTATATCAGTGATCAGTCTTAACTAATTTTGCCTGGAGAAAAACAGTTTCATAGTCACACTTCTACCTCCCTCAGTAATTTGGTAGAACAAAATCTCAGCCGCAATCACCAGGCCCAAAAGAAACATAAGTCAGTAGAGAGCCCACCTCACCCAGCTAAAGCCTATTTGTATGGAAGATCAAATTTCACATCTTTGGGGAACAGCTTTCCAGATGTGGGTTGTAAGAGGTGAAATTTATAGGCTGGGATAGGTGTGCTAAAGAAATAGAACTTTATTTTCTCTTTATTCTCTTTCCTCCTATTTTGTAGCAAGAGCAGGAGGGAGAACCTTAAATTTGAACCTTAAATTCAAGAAAACTTCCCTTCCAAGCATTTTTAAAATATGGGTTAGGTTTTGAGATCAGTCAATTTCGAGTTCCTCTTTCCCCTGGAGGAAATCCAAGTCCTAGAGGAGTTTGTATATCATTCTGATTTGTGGGAAAGAGAACTGGGTTACTGTCCTGGCAACATCTCGAGTCTGGCTTGCACTGCCTAGTCTCCGGGAATCTTGTGCTGCTATTCAGTGAAGCATGGCAAAAGCCACCTGGTCCTTTTGAACACCCTGCTGCCCGCAGTGTGGAAGTCTGCATGGCCAGCCATAGGTCCTTCCATTCTTCAGCCTCCTTATTCCCATCCCAGGCTTCTTCCATGTCACTAGATCTCTTGGCACTTCCACATAGGGTGCTCTGATTTTCCCAGACTACAGAACAGGATATTTGGAGGCACTACCTCTGGCCCACCAGCCTTAGCTCTCATCTGCTACCGGCATGGCACCTGTGTTGCTCTGGTTCCCCTATTCTATGCCAAAAGAGGGACTTTTGGCCTAAATCTTGAGAAGCATTGAGCAAAGTACCCTGCCCTAGCATCCTCAATGTGTTCACTATCCCTCACTCCCACATTCTTCCTGAAAGAGTATAGACATATGAATGTATGGGAAGGAGAGTAGACACAACTCTAATACGACTTATTGCCTTTCTATTCCTATTTCACCCAGGTTCTTCTCAAGTATCAACAGTTGGATTGTACTTTCCCTCCTGTTTCCTGGGGGCAAAAATGAATGAATGTTTCACCACCTAGGCTTAGTGGTCAGGGGCTACAGGGAAAAACCTCAAGTTAAAGACAAAATATACAGAAAAATATTTCAGAAATACTATCCTTTTACACAATGTATAAAAGCTGTTTCTTTTTTTTTTTAAGATTTTATTTATTATTTATTTGACAGGCAGAGATCACAAGTAGGCAGAGAGGCCGGCAGAGAGAGAGGGGGAAGCAGGCTCCCTGCTGAGCAGAGAGCCCGATGTGGGGCTTGATCCCAGGACCCTGGGATCATGACCTGAGCCGAAGGCAGAGGCTTTAACCCACTGAGCCACCCAGGTGCCCTATGAAAGCTGTTTCTTCGTCTACTCCCCTAGACTGCTAGTTCAAGAGTTGAAACTGTTCTACCTGTTTGAGGATGTTCCCAAATGGAAATATTGAGTATGTAGGAAAACAACTTCTACTGAATCAGTAAAGAAGCATCAACTTTAGAGACAAACACTAGTAGACATTTAATGTAAAACAGGGTCAGACAATGGAATGGAATAGAAAATCCAGAAATAGCCACACACACACAAACAACTGATTTTTTTGACAAAGCTACAAAGGCAACAAAGTAGAGAAAGAGGAGTCTTTTCAACAAATGGTGCTGGAATAACTGGATAATTATATAAGGGGAAAAAATGGACTTAAATCCATACCTGTGATAGGGAGAATATTGCCCTCCCCAAGATATGTCTACACCCTAATGCCCGCAAACCCAAGGATATGTTAAGAGAATGAAAACACAAGCCACGGGGGGTGGGGGGGGGGAGATTGCAAATCATATAGCTGATACAGGACTTTTCTCTAGATTACATTAAAAACTCTCAAAACTCAATAATAGGAAAACAAACACAAAGAAATTGCAAAAAGACTTGAACAGATACTTCATCAAAGAAGATATAGGGATGGCAAATAAGTACATGAAAAGATGTTTGAAATCATTAGTCATGAAAAATGAAATTTATAAGCACAAGAAGATCCCTCTACACACGAGCTGGCAAAGATGTGGAGCAACACTCATCCCCTGGGGTGGAGATGTAAGATGGTACAACCACTTTGGAAAACAGTTCGGCAGTTTCCTAAAACGTTAAACTCTAGATATTTACCCAAGAGAAATGAAATCATATGTCCATATAAAGACTTGTAGGGACGCCTGGGTGGCTCAGTTGGTTAAGCAGCTGCCTTCGGCTCAGGTCATGATCCCGGCGTCCTGGGATCGAGTCCCACATTGGGCTCCTTGCTCATCAGGGAGCCTGCTTCTCCCTCTGCCTCTGCCTGCCATTCTGTCTGCCTGTGCTTGCTCTCTCTCCCTCTCTCTCTCTCTGACAAATAAATAAATAAAATCTTTAAAAAAAAAAAAAAAAAGACTTGTAGATGAATGTCCAATAGCAACTTATCTGTAATAGCCCCAAAGCAGAAGCAACTTAAACGTCCATCAACAGATGAATGAATAAGCAAACTATAGAATACCGGTACAGTGGAATACTATCCAACAACAAAAATGAATGAATTCTTGATAACACAACAGATGAATCTCTGAATAACGTCTATGTGAAAGAAGTCAAACAAACTAACCAAAAAAAAAGTACATTCTGTGTGGTTCATTTTATGTAACATTCAAGGAAATGCAAACTGATAAATAGTAACAGAAAGCAGATCAGTGCCTCTGGAAAAGGAGCTGGGTAAGGTCAGGACAGAGGAATTACAAAGGAGCAAAAGGAACGTTTTGAGGATGATAAACGTTCACAACCTTAAGATGATTTCATGGTTGTATACATATATCAGAACTTACTACATCGTTCACTTCAAATATGTTCCGTTTATTGTATGCTATTTATACTTCCATAAAACTTTTTAAAATACAGTAAGAGAATTTAAAAAAAAAATACACACACACACACACACACACACACACACACACACACACACACACGGCAGGATGAAACAGTGGTGCAAACAAGTTCTGTCACCCAAGCACCAGCAGACAAGGGGAACGGGGGTTTCTTTGCCTTGCAAAAGGATGCTAAGTGAGAGCCCCAGGGGTCAAGGAAAGGAGAACCGCTTGCCCTCTCAGGCCACCTGAGGGATGTAGACTGGAGCGCGGGATGAAAATCTTTGGGGTAGGAGGAACGGTTACACCTCAGAGATTTTGGAGGAGGGATCTTGATAATAAAGCCCAAGCAGGTTCTTTGTCCTCTCTTTCCCCCGCCACCTTGCCAAAAGGGCCCCGAGAGGTCTGCTTTCCATCTCCAAATTTGTGTTTTGGAGCAGTTTGTTTTGTATAAAGTCGGGTGGTGTCCCACGTGTAAGCTAGGACATCCAATCAAGAGGGATTGATGACGCATTACATCAGTGATCAAAAACTACCTCGACCATTACGAGGGAAATGACACAACACGGATATGACACCACGGGGAAGTCCTGAGTCTTAGACCTCCGCAACCACCAGGAGAGTCCAGCCTCCACAGTCCTTCCCAACGCCGCGGCCCTCCCGGCCCAGCCTTTTCCTTCCGCGTTGACTCCTCCGGGAGGGACGGGAGGAAGAATCGGCCCGGGCCCCGCCCCCTGGGCGTGCCTCTACTCAGCACCGCGCACCCTCACCAGAGTCGCTTTACGGCCGGGGAGAGGGTGGGCCCTGGCCTTGAGGCAGGAGGCCGAATTGAGGGGCGGGGAAAGAGGCCTTTTGCGGCAGGCCGTAAGTGACGACGTGGGCGGTGCGAGTGCAGCTGGAGGGCAGAGGAGGCGGGTTCGTGTTTCCCGGGCCGAACCGGGCTGTGGGGGGCGCGGGGCCTGGGCAGGGGCTGTAGCTAAAGGCCTGCGGTGACAGTATGGGTGAAGGGAAGTGGGGCGGGGGAGGCCTTGGGCCGCTTTGGCCTGTGGGGACGGCTGGGGGGCTGGCGGGCTGGAGTCCTGGGTCCAGGCCGGGGATCTGACCCTGGTTGGTGTTCCACTACCCTCCCCCACCCCGAACCCGCAGCGCGCCGGTCCTGTCCTCGCCATGAGGCCGCAGCAGGCGCCGGTGTCCGGGAAGGTATTCATTCAGCGAGACTACAGCAGTGGCACACGGTGCCAGTTCCAGACCAAGTTCCCCGCGGAGCTGGAGAACCGGGTACGTAGACTGACTCCCCGCACCTGCTCTGGGGCGAGGGAGGGCTCTTCAGGGACGGGAGGGAGTATGGGTCGACACCGGGCCCGCTGAGTGTCTCGCGGCTCTGGGGAGGGGCAGGCAAAGGAGCCTTGGTCAGAAGGGGCCACTAAGCAAGACATGGTGCTTGGAGGAGGACGAATAAGGCCAAGCCCCCGGTGTGATGACCGTGTGGAACTCTGTGGTGCTCATGCCGGGAGTCTGTACCCAGCCCGCCGTCTTCTTCCCGCCTGTCCCCTCCCACCTCCATCCCGGGTTATTGACAGCAGTGATGAGAAACTAATTCCTGAGGTTCCAAGCCACCTAACTCAGCACGTTGTAAGCTGCATCCTCCTACCTAGCCAGGAAGAGTAATTATCATTCTCGTGACTGGCGTTTGTGACTATTGTGCTGGTCGCACTGCTCGGCACAAAGGGTTTATTTAAGTTGCTATGCCAGGCAGTGCAGACAGGCCTTCTCGGAACCTGAAAAACGCAGAGCATTAGATTGGCCTGGACATGGAAAGGTCTTAGAACAAGGCCTTAGAGCGGTCATTTCCAGTTGCGATCACTGGGAACTACCTGTGTTTTGTTGACTTGCATATCAAAATTGGCATCAGGATATAGGTCCCTTAGGCAACCCTGCATACAGAAATGGAAGAATGGGCTGGCTGTGTTTCCTCCTGCTTCAGACTAAAGGGGGGAGGGGAGGAATATCATTGTATTGTATTTGAAAAGTGCAATGAAGTGAGCATGTGTGTGTGTTTTCTTGTACCTGCATGTGTTTACCCACCTGAAGAAAGATCTTTTGGTCTTGATCCATGTTACTCTACATTCTGTTTCCTTTTTAGAGATCAGTTTCTGGTTAGATGGGAGCAGGTTTTGTGCTGTTTTCACCTTGGTGAGGAGGGTGAGGGACTGAGGTGATTAGGTGCACTGTGGGTGTGGGAGTAAGAAATACTGGTCATGGGATAAGTGGGTGTAGATGAGTCTGTACTAGAGAAATGTGTAGCAGTCCTTTAAAACCAGCTTGTAATAGGTAGGTGGTTTTACCTGATTGCCAACTTTGGAAAATCAGTGTATATCAATTGTAGTGTCCTTCAACATTAAGTTATTACTGTGGTCAGGTTAGTGACCTAAGTATGTTTCTTTAAGTGCAAATGAAAGATCAGGTATGCTTTATAACGATGGTTTTTAGAGTAACTTGTCTGTGAAATGCCGTATAAATGCTGTAGTTTATGTCTCCATGTTGGGTTAACTCAGCTGGACACTGGGTGACCATTTCCACAGTGGTTCGAAGAGGTAGAAATTGAGCAAGTTGCCTGTTGGCTAGAGCTACTGAATGTTATTTTTAAAATAATTTAACATCACAGTTAACATGTTTTACATGTTAGGGCTTGTGTGAAATGAAGCAAATGTTTTAGTTGTAAGCCTGTTATACTCTTACGCTATTTATGTACTTCTAAATCAGAGTGTAAACTATTTACCACACTAACTTGGATGTTACAAGACTCCTTTGTTTAAAGGTTTTAAAGTCAAACTTCTAGTGCATAACTGAGCCAAATACATGTAATCAGAATCAAACATTAGCCTTCCACTCTGTGTGTGGTAGAGCCTTTATTTTATAGTCAATACAGAAACACAATGTAGTCACAGATCCACTGATTCTTACAGGAAATTGATGTTTCTAAATTCTTTAGTCCTTTTATTTCTTTGACTTCAGATTATAGCCTAGAACTGCTTGTGACTCTGAGTACTATATGGAGTGTTATTTGGTGCTGTTCAATTGTGTCTTTGAGGGGTTTGGGTTTTTTTTTTTTTTCTTTTTTTAAATGTTTGGGTTAAAACACTAGTTTATACTTAAACTGCTTAGGAGAGCTTTGATTTTTCTTTTAATGCTTGAAATCAAATTTAAATTACAGATTTAAATTTTCCTTGCTTTGTTTGATGGAAAATTGAAAGGGTTCTGTCTTTGTTTCTACGACTTATCCTAGAAATTTACTGATTGCCCTGCCACTGGGGCTGATTTTCCTTTTGTGAGAACATCACACTTGGCAATTTAATAGAGGAAGAAACTAATATACAAATGTTTTGTGTTACTTTAAAGCATTAAACACACATACATTTGTACCCTTTAATCTGGGAGTAAGGACAAGTTCTGCCTGTAACAAGTTTACTTTTTTTTTTTTTTTTTAAGATTTTTATTTATTTGACAGAGAGAGATAGAGCGAGAGAGGGAACACAAGCAGGGGCAGTAGGAGGGAGAAGCAGACTTCTCACCAAGCAGGGAGCCAAATGTGGGGCTTGGTCCCAGCACCCTGGGATCATGACCTGGGCCGAAGGCAGAGGCCCAACAACTGAGCCACCCAGGCACCTCTAACAAGTTTACTTTTTCTGTTGCCTGTTAGAATGTAATGCTTGGATGCTTAAGTACTTTGTTGCCAGGACAGTTCCTGAAGAAAGCTTTATTCTCACTTTAGCCAAAATACAGACACATTAGGCACCCTTGGTAGGAGAGAAATGAGTGATCTATAATTGAAGCATTTTTTTCCCTTACATACCTTTAAAAATGTGTGTCTATACCTAGTTGGTGGAAATTACCTTTGACTTGTTACCTTTGACTTATGATCACTTTAAGCTTCAGCTCCATGCTTCCTACCACATAGTTCAGGAAACAAAAGTTCTGGGAAAATGAGTCTGATTCCTATTTTCTCCTGATTTTCAATGCTTATTGTTTCAAATTTATATTTGGCTCCCACTTCACAAATCTCCCAGTTTTGATGTAGCTTTGATATCAGTCTTCAAGTACCCAAAGGACAGCACTGACAAGTGTTCTTCATAGTGGAGTGAGAGAAAAATGCCCACATTTGTTCTGTTGAGTCCTTTGCCTTTACTGCTGCCTAGCATGCTTTTTACCCTCTTTTCTTTTTTAATAACCTTTCAAAGAAATTATTGACTTTTTAAATTTTTTATTAAACTTTTTAAAAAAAAATCCTTCACCTTGGATTTTTTTTTTAATGATCTATGATTTACCTCCATCCTATAAAGCACTATAATCTTGGAATAACTTTTTTAAGAATTCATGTTTCTGGTATGACTAGTAATTCTGATCTAAAAAGAAATAAAATGTCTCCTGGTTTTGAATCACACTGTATCCAAAGAAATGTAAATAACTCATAGAACTTTTCTTATCAGATCATAACATTTTAGGTAGATCAAATGTGCATTTTTTAAATTATTTAGACTTTTGTGGATTTGCCAATGTGACAAACTGAAGGTGTTAACTTGGCCATAACTAGTAAAGATAACAATTTGCTATAAATATTTGTTCATGAAGTGAACAAAGTCCATTTTCAGGGAATGAGAACTTTGACGTAGATTCCCCAGATGACCATTCTTCAAGTGGTGGCTCAGTGCAGGAATGCTACCCTGACTTTTAGCTCCATCTCCACCCACCCAACCCTTGTCAGAAACTCTGAATATTCTGGGAAATTAAAAGTAGCTCCTTTTGAAAAACAGGAGAGCTGCCACCACTTTAAAGTTCATATTAAAGTTTTTCATGCCATTGGCTCTTTGAGTCCTCAATAGTTTCTCCATACAAAGGACAAAACAGTAATTACAACTGCCTCTAACTCAAAGGATTTTAACTGCTTAAAGGTGATGATCATTAATTGTTTTACTTTTTTTTTAAGATTTTATGTATTTATTTGGCAGAGAGAGAGATCACAAGTAGGCGGGGGGGTGGGGGGTAGCAGGCTCCCCGCTGAGCAGAGAGCCTATGTGGAGATGTGGAGCTCAATTCCAGAACCCTGGGACCATGACCTGAGCCAAAGGCAGAGGCTTAACCCACTGAGCCACACAGGCGCCCCAATTGTTTTACATTTTTAAAAATTATATTCTTGGGTCTGTTTTGTCTCAAACTGTATATTGAAATTATTTGACTTTTTTCCCAGTCTGTTTCTATAGAAAGACTTAACAAAAGTGGGGCACCTGGGTAGCTCAGTTGGTTAAGCCTCTGACTCTTGATTTTGGCTCAGATCATGATTTCAGGGTTGTGAGATTGAGTCCCATGTCAGGCTCCACACTGAGCATGAGCCTGCTTTAAGAGTCTCAAAAAAAAAAAAAAGAAAAAAAAAAAAAGACTTCATAAAAGATAGAATTTATATGTAAGGAGTTACTCCTTTCAGGAGCAAAGCAAATGTGTGAGAGAAGGCCTAGATTAAGGACAGATAAATTGTCTTTTTTTGCCAAGAATGACAGTGTTACATGAAATACTCCGCTAATGTATAAAAGTTGTAAGGTACAAGCTTTGAGGTTTGAAATCTACAAAGTTAGGAGAAAAAAAGTGAAAGCAGGAGATTAAAGTGAAGATGGATGACAGTGTTAGTGTAAATGTGAGATAGTGGTGTCACTGAATAGAAAGGTAATAGGAATGACTTGGTGTGAAGACCTGTGTGGTAGTTTGAGATTTTGTCTCTGTGAACTTTCAGTAGATTCCATGTTTAGGGACTTAATTTAAGATTACTTGCTCTTAAGAGCGAGAGAGGCAAACCAAGAAACAGACTCTGAGCTATAGAGAACAAAACGGGTAGTTACCAGAAGGGAGGTAGGTGGGGGGATCAGAGAGATGGGTAATGGGGATTAGGAGTGCCCTTGTAATGAGCATCAGGTGTTGTATGAAAGTGTTAAATTACTCTTTTGTGTACCTGAAACTAATATTACACTAATTGGAATTTAGATAAAAACTTTTAATAAGATTACCTGCTCTTTTGAGATAAAGAGACCATCTCCTTCCTTTTGTGCCCCCACCATATGCCTCCACCATAGTACTTTGTCAGTTTATTATGTTTTTATGTTTACATACCTGTTCTGCTTTCATGACTGTCAACTCTTGGAGGACTAAGACAGTGTCTTACTCATCTTTCTCTAAGCTGTCTTAACACCTGTCTGATGGTAGGTGCTCAGAAAATGTTGATGTAAGTGAATGGAAAGTTGGAAGGATTATATAATTTTTTTTTTAAGATTGATTTATTTCAGAGAGAGAGCATACTCACGAGCGGGGGCCAGGGGGGAGGGCGGTGGCAGAGGGATAGAGAGAGAAAGAGAGAGAGAGAGACTCTCCAACAAACTCCCTACTGAGCACAAGAGCCCAACCTGGAGCTCGATCCCATAACCCATGAGATAATGACCTGAGCCAGAACCAAGAGTCGGACACACGGTCAGCTGAGCCACCCAGGTACCCCAGGGTTGTATCATTTTATGAAGTTACTTGATACTCAGTATAGAGAATAAAGAGATACTGTCTTGAGTCTTGAAGTTATCCAGTGTCCATAAGAGGGATAAGATTAAACAAAGACTAAGCAGTTTTAGTAACATAGGTCCCCATTTCATCACCTAAAATGTTTGCCAACTAGTGGATAAGAATGTTGACAAAATAGCAGAACAAATTAGTGATAGCAAGCATTAGTGAGTAGTGATCTTTTTTTTCCAAAACTTATTTTTAAATTCTTTTTTCCATACAGATTGATAGACAGCAGTTTGAAGAAACAGTTCGAACTCTGAATAACCTGTATGCAGAAGCAGAGAAGCTTGGAGGCCAATCCTATCTTGAAGGCTGTTTGGCTTGTTTAACAGCATACACCATCTTCTTATGCATGGAAACTCATTATGAGAAGGTAAGGCTACCTTTGTTTTCACAAAATCTCTTAAAATCATAAAAAAAGGTGAGTTGTTGACATGTTTACATGATGACAGTTGCCATTAAACTTAAAGGAGCATGTATAGTAATAATAATTCAAATTTTGTTGTTGCTCCTGTGTCTAGAGCACATAGTAAAGAATCCTGAGTCTTTCAGAAATTGGTCAAAATTGATCAGTCAACATGAAGTTGACATACCAGTGTTCAAATTGGCTTACGCTTAAGAAGACTGTGGAAAATCTATATTCTCATTCTGTATAGCTTTCTGAGAATCCTCTTGTTTTCCCCAAGTCTCTGTCTTATTTTATCCTGTGACCTGAGTTCTTTTTTTTTTTTTTTAATATTTTATTTATTTATTTGACATAGAGAAGCAAGAGCGAGCACAGGCAGACAGAGTGGCAGGTAGAGGCAGAGGGAGAAGCAGGCTCCCTGCCAAGCAAGGAGCCCGATGTGGGACTCGATCCCAGGATGCTGGGATCATGACCTGAGCTAAAGGCAGGCGTCCCGACCTGAGTTCTTATATTCTCTTTCCATCTGCCTGCTGGATCTGGTGTTGCCAGCTTCTCAGCTTCGGTGTCCAAAAGGCAAACCTCGCACCTCCCCATTTTGTGTAATAGCACCCTGCCTTTTTCAGTACCATCTTAAGGTGTGGAGGATGAAGAAATTATCAGTTGTCAAAGCTGAAATATCTTCCATTTTCTCATTCATTAACTTTTCATGATTTCCTGTGCCACTGTTCTAATATGTGCCCTTATTACCTGTCTCTCAGACTATTTGAAATAGTCTGACAAGTTTCATTTCTTCCATTCTCTTATTTTTCCAAACCATCTGCTGCTGCCTTCATAAATCACTATGTAAGTGGGGTAGCTCAGGCAGTTGAGCCTCCAGCTCTTGATTTCGGCTCAGGTCATGATCTCGGGGTCCTGGGATTGAGCCCTGTGTCGGGCTCTGCACTCAGCAGACAGTCTGCTTGAGATTCTCTCTCTCTCTCCTGCTACGCCCCTCTCTCCACTCGCATGCACTCAAAAAAAAGCAAAAATCACTGCATTACTTCCTCTAGTACTCTTACAAAGTCAGAGGCCTTCCCTGGCTTCTCATTTACTAACAATGAATAAAGTCCAAGCCCTTTCTCCAAGTGACCTCCAACTTATCTTTCCAGCTTTGTCTCCCACCCCTTCTTTACTTTTTCTTTCAGCCAGACTCATTCTCTTGCCAGGCAACCTCTGAGGTTTTCCTCCACCTATAGTGCCATTCTTCCCCCATTCAAATCTCCCCAGTCCATTAGATCCTCCTGTCATCTCACTTTTCCTTATTCTTCAAATCAGAATTCTTTCTCACGTTTTTATCCCCACAATATTTTGTTTATGTCTCTTTTCCTGGCACTTAACCTGTCTTGATTTTGGAATGTAACAGTTTACATTCTCATTTGCCCTTCAAGGATGTATTTTTCTTGGGTCAGGGACAGTGCTTTAACCATTTTGTGTCCCTCTTCATGCCCACCACCATGCCCTGAGATGTTTTAGGCACTCACTGAATGCGTTTTGAAGGAATTTAAGTTAATCACAGTAAACCCCTAATATATCATTTAACTTTGAGCATGTTTAGCAACTAAAATGCTATAAGGATATCTGTATTACAGATTATACCCCACCTAATAGAAGTGTCCCTGTGATTGTCATGGACTCTATATAGTGGAAAGCAAATACAGTTGCAGCTGAAGTATTTTTGAGAGTCACTGGCTAAAAATACTGCCATATGCTTCATTAGCATCCTGACATGAACTGTCTTAGTGTTACTAAAAGGGTATATTTAAATAACTAAGTTAGTAGTTAATATATATTTTCCATATCATACAGAGAAGCAGCTAACTTTCATTCCTGTTCAACATTCAAAAATCAGAAGTTTTAAAGGATCAGTATCAGCTTTCAGTCTGCAGCTTCTCTTTAATAGTACATTCGCTGAGTGAAGGGACAAGGGATTCATTCATTTGGTAAATATTTATTGAAGCCTACAATGTGCTAAACAGTGTGCCGGGGATGTAACAGAATAGGGCAAACATGATTGCTGACCTTGTGATATTTATAATTTAGCTGGTTTCATTTCCTTTGCATCAGTCATTACCACTAAATTATAAATGGTGATAAGCATCTTGAAGAAAACAAACTTTCCTGTGATAGAAAATATTAGGAGAGACCTAATTTAGATTGTGTGGTCAGAAAAGGCCTCTGAAGTGGTAACCTATAAGTGGCTACATGAAGAATGCAAATCCTGGGACCATTCAGGTAGAGAGATTAGTGTTTGCAAAGGTCCAGAGAGCGTGATGGTTCCTGGGAACTGTAAGAAGGCCAGTGCGGAAGGAGAGGAGAGAGGGGCCGTAGCGAATTTGGAGAGGTTAGGAGGAGCTGTAGCATGTAGGAGTGTGTAGTCCATAGAAAGATGTTCGGATTTTATTTTCAGTGCAGCAGGGAAACTACTCAAAGATTTTAAGTGGAAGAGTGATATGATCAGATATTCATTTTAAAGCAATCTCTTTAGGGGGGAAAAAAGTATGAAAGTGGAAGTAGGGAACCCAGGTAGGATGCTCCATGGAAATCCAGGCGAGAGATGATGAGTGCTTGGACAGGGAATGGAGCAGTAGAGATGGAAGGAGGTGAACAAATTCAAGGACTATGGTGATAGTGGAACCAAGATTTGATGAGGAACTGAATGTAGGAGGGGGTCGGGCTGAATTCATATGGCTGGAAACTAGTCCATGGGGGAATGTTCATTTAAAGAAGTGTAGGACATGACCAATTTAAGGTAGAATTACAACTTCTAGAGAATTTTGTTCATGCTTAGTGGAGTATTAGACAGTTGAGTTGTCATTTCACTATAGCTTTTACATTTGTTGATAAAATTTTAATTAACTTTTATTTATCCCTGTGCATTTGCTGAAATAGATACCTCCTTCTAATGTCAGTTGTAAAAAGAAATTGGTAATTGGGTGCTAGCCAAGTCAGTTACATTAATTATGGGATCATGGACAAATTAATCTCTCTAAGCCTGAGCTCTCAACTGTAAAATGGGTGTTAGAATTAATGTATTTCCTCACATATGGTAAATGTATAATAATGTTCTCTTAAGATGAATTTAAAAATTAAGTTAGTGTATATACATATATATGTGTATATATATACACGTGTGTGTGTGTGTATATGTGTGTGTGTGTTTTCCAGGTATAAGTAATCTTTTTTAGCAGTTGCTAACTTAATTTAGCTGCTTAAAACATTTAGCAGCTTTTAATTAAAATCCCTTTAACTATGGGGGCACCTGGCTGGCTCATTTGGTAGAGCATATGCAGCTTGTGATACCAGAGTTTTAAGTTCAAGCCCCACCTTGGGCGTGGAGCCTACAGCTCCACAAATAAATATCCCTTTGATTATTAATCTTGAAGTTCTCTGTATCAGGAATAGAGTGGAAATTGGTCCTAATATATGTTTTACCTTGGATTCACAGGCGATATAGAAGGTATTACTTTATAAGTCTAATCAAGGTTTCTTTCTTTATACGGAATATTATAAAGCAAGTAAAGACCAAATAAAATTAGGGACGCCTGGACGGCTCAGTTTGTTAAGCATCTGCCTTTGGTTCAGGTCATGATCTCGGGGTCCTGGGATCGAGCTCACGTTGGGCTCCTTGCTCAGTGGGGAGCCTGCTACTCCCTCTCCTCCCCAGCCTCACTCATGTACTCTTGCTCTGCTCTCTCTCAGATAATAAATAAAATCTTTTAAAAAAAAAAAAAAAAGGGGACCAAATAAAATTAGTCAAGAAACCAAAATTTAAGGTGTGGCCACATTTTTTGAAGTGGGTGATTTTATTTTAGAAACTGGACATAAGTAACTAGATGATGCCAAATGAATAACTGGAATGGTGCTAATTAAGACTTACACTTTTAAAAGAAAATAGTAAATGTATATTTGTAGTTTTGATACAGTGATACTAGAACACAGCTGCCCTCCTAATCTCCAGTTTGTCCCTTAGGAATTTCTGTACTATTATTTTCCACTTTATGAAAGGACAGGATTGGGTCAGTTAGTCTGTATTGTTCTAAACACTAAAATTTTTAATCTACAAATAGTAAGCCAAATATAATAGTGCTTACACTTTGTCATGTGGGTTAAATTTTTTGAAATTGTAAATAAGCCTTTTAAAACTCACTAGAACAATCATGCTTTTTTTTCCTATAATGTGCTGTTTATTGATTTAAAATGAAGATAAAGACTTCAGTGTTATTTCTCTATTGTTGCTGCCCATTATAATTAGGGAACAAATGGGTTGGTAGAAGCTTCTCCTCTCAGTAGCTGTCTGCCTTTTTCATAACATCCCTTCTGCTTGTGTGCTATAATCTGTAAAAGGAATAAATTGGAAGCAACCTAGTTATTTCTGAAAGTACTAAGATCCTGCTGTTCTCACTTAGCTTCACTTAGGATATTTTTTCTTGAGTGTATTTTTTCTTGAGGGTCTCTCCAGTTTAATATTCTCAAGGAGGATAATAGTCTTTACGGAGGTTTGATTGTATTTAGCTTTGTAAATATTATAGAGATTGAGGTTTTATTGAGGGTATAAGGATAACAGATAATTTTGTTGAGTATTATAGTTTGCTTTGACATTGATTTACCAAAAATAATAAACTATGGCTAAAATGTCAACATAAAGTTTCTTGGGAGTAAGAACGTTACTTTATCCTGCCTGGGATGCAGTATGAGTTTACTCATGTTAATGCTTTTTTGTTGCTAAAGAGACTAAGAGTTTAAGAGCATCTTGTTTAAGACAGTCCTGCCTTCACCAGAGTGGTTTAAGAGGATTTGGAGCTTATGCAAAAAGAAACATTGTTTTCTTTCTGAACTGATACCTAAGTGCACATGAATGTTATTAACATTTAAATAAAAACCTTGCACAACAGAGTTACCCTTGAATCAAATAAAGGCATGCTGTTTCTTTGCTGGTAACCTGTACCCAAGGAGAGAGGAGGAAAAGCTGTTCTGAAGGAATCCTTTCTTTGAAACCAGCCATGCAAGCACTTTTCTGACTGTACCCCGTAGTGGAAATGAATGGGAGTAAGGGTAGACCAACTCTCCAATTTCCAGTTCTGGCAGGTGAGCTGATGAAGAAATTGGAGAGAAGATTGAGGGTCCTGAGTTGGGCACCTTTATGGGCTGCTTCCTTCTATTCGTTATTTTAGCATGATTGACAAACTGATAGAAGGATAGTGCTTAAGATTTCTTTTTTTGCCCATAAAAGACCAAACATCACTCAAGTTCTTTGGGAGTTGAAAATAGGAGAATGATACTTGTATTATTACTTCAGATAATTAGATGAAAAAAAAAGTTTTCTTTAGAATTGGTATTCTTAATTCACTACCTGAAGAACCCTGCAGATTGCTCTTTTAATAACACCATGCTCTTTTAGAACATGAAATTTAGTATTCCCAAAGATGCAACTTGAATAAACTTACTTAAATTTTCTTTTCCTTCAATAAGAAGATTTGTTATGCAAACTTAGTGTTTTAAATTCTAAATCAGCTTATACTACAGCACCTAAATTGTAGCATCCTAATTTTGTTAGTTTGCCCTGGTACATTATAGACCCATACTTAATTTGTTTCTTAATCTCTAACTTTATCCTCATACAGTTCTTTTTTTCCCTTATGTCGTGATCACATTTATCCAAGATTTCAGCATATGCTGATAGTATGAATCTAAGAAAATGTATAGTAATTAAAGAACTGGATCAAAGCCTTTTTGAACATTAGAGCCAAAAAAGGGTTATGATGACTTTGAATCTGAAATAAAACATGTAACTCTTTGATTTTGTATATAGCTACTAAGATTTATTTTCTTCTACCTTATCTGTCTCAGAATTGCCCTTATTAAAGCTAGAGATTTGGCAATTTCCAGAAGTTCCTTTGTATCCTATCTGGCTTTTGTCTGCATTTGCTTTGACTTTTACAACCTTAATTCTAAACTTAAACCAAAGTTCCCATCAAGGACACAAGAGCAGACTACAGAGTAGCATTACATGCAGTGGTGGAAAGGATATAAGACGCTTGTCCTCAGAAACTCCATAGCAGCTGTCACATGCTTTACAAAGGAAATAAACTTCTAAGTTTTAAACTAATTGGGCTATCTCTTGTTAATGGGCCAACTTTATATCATTACTTAAAATTGATGAAAACATTCAAAGGAGAGAAGCAGCCGTTCTTAAGTGATAAAGGGAACGCCCAAGAAGTACCTTGGTGTCACATTAACAACACTTGATGAGTGGGAAAGAGAAAAGTACCACCAACTTTTCTGTATATAATCACCTACTTATTTCTCTATATCCAGGATTGAGATGACAGCAGGTAAGAAGGAGGGGCTGGCGCTCATGATTTTGTACACACTGGTACTTAACGCCGCATTGAAGATTGTGTGACTTGCAGAGTCCATCAGGCTGTGCCATATGTCGTACACAACTGGTGTGTGCCAAATACTCACAGCTGTGTCCCTTCATGCGAATATCCATTTCTTGTTTTAAAAGCTAATTCCACTGCCTGAGTATTTTGAGATCCAGCTAATACTTAATGGGAAGTCTGATGACATTTGTTAAAAGCTATGGTATTTCCTTCCATCAGGTTCTGAAGAAAGTGTCCAAATACATTCAAGAGCAGAATGAGAAGATATATGCTCCCCAAGGCCTCCTCCTGACAGATCCCATTGAGAGAGGACTTCGAGTTGTATCTTTTTTGTCCAGATCATAAAGTCTAAATATCTGTAAAAAGAAAATTTTGACAGTACTATTTGGGATCAACTAGAGAGAATTTAGGTCCCTTCTCTTGTATTTGCCCTAGGAACCTTCTCTGAATTGCTTACCTACCTTAATCCTCCCGTCTCCAACATTTTTCTTAAAGCACGTCTCCTTCCTTTGCATCATGCAGGTCTCTGGATTTTTTAATGTTCTGGTTACCTTCTTTCCTGGTGGTTCTGAGGGCATCTTGTAGTAATAATGGGGGTGGCATGAGTAATGCATTTCAGCTGCAGAATCTCTGAACCTAAAGCTTCTTTGAAATGCATAAACTCATAATGTGTGGTGAGACTTGTCATCCAAATGAATTGCAGTTCCATGGGTTCATTGGACTAGTTGAAATCAGTTACAGCTGCCAGATGTATAATTTCATTACCTTTGACATACTGTGCATATTTTTAGAGGCAGTAAGCTTTGAAACTCACTAAGTGAATTTGGTAAATAAAATTGCAAAAAAACTAATTTAGCTTGATAACTGGAATCATGAGTAAAATAAATTTTTTTAAAAACCGAGGTCAGATAATCCCAGGCCTTCCGGCTGATGATAATTTCAACAGTTTTATTATACTCTGTGGCAGTGGTTCTTAAACTCTTAAGAGGTCATGAACCCTCTCCCAAGAAAAAGTTTGCAGATAACTACAGGGCATTTTGAACCCCTGAATTCATTACCTTCTTCAGTTCTCAGCTAAGAACCCCCTAGTTCTACAATATAGCATCTTTTTTCAGAATTCTTTTTCCCAAAAAATAAACAACGTTTGGGGGCGGTGGGTGGGGGTGGGGAATTACATGTAGAGTACTACAGGCAATTAGATTTCTTAAAGTTTTTTGCAAGTTGGAGAAAGCATCACGTCTAACTTAAGTAGGAGAAATTACTAATAATTCAAAAATGAGCGAAGGAAATTGAAAGCAAAGTCTGCGCAGATCATTCACATCATCTTTCCACAGTCCCCTTTTATACATTCCGTTCTCCAGTGTGTTTTCTTAACAGCTATGCTGTTTAGATTGAAATCACCATTTATGAAGACAGAGGCATGAGCAGTGGAAGATAAACCATAGAATTAAAGGTAAAAAATTATATGATTTATGTGCAGTTTTTGTCATTTGTAGCATGCGTGAGTTTTCTTCCCTGCATGGCAAATAAATGATTAGATAATGACATATTCTGTGTATTGGCTTGAGATTTAAAATGTATATTTAACCCAAAGTTCTATTTGGTGATCTAGAATTTAATCCTGATTTTCCCCCTCTGTATTGTTTTCAGACTGGTTTTATTATTACTTTGGTTTGCTGGGTGTTTTTTTAGGGGAGGGGGTCTTGTTTTAATATTCGAAACAATCCTAGACATTTTGCATATAAAAATCATTTTCGCTATTGCCCTGCCTGTATGATGAATGGCTTTAATAACCAAAGAAACATTTCAGAGTGGAGGGGAGATTCTGACTATTTCTTTTATTTAAGTGGCTTCATTGCCCTATAGAAGAAAATTTACCCTGGTGGTTAAAACCATAAATTTAATTCTTTTGTTTAGAACATTTATGTTCTTCTGTATCCATATAATGACCTTGAAATGAGAAACAAATCAGTTAATACTGGTAGGAGTGTAGATGCAGAATCATGTGGAAGCCATAGTCCATTAGTACAGCCTTCTAAGTAACAGAAAATCATACTGCACCGTTTCTGCCAGTTCCAATCATTTATACTTTCTACAGAGAGTGTTCTGCTGCTGTACTTTCCTAATTGACTGTTTGCAGGTGTTTGTCACTAACAGGGAGCACAGAAACAGATCCAGACCTGCTCCTCCTTCCAAGGGCAACAGTAATAATAACTGCCGTTTCGAGGGCACCTGCTCTGTGCCAGGTGTTCTGCGAATGGTATGTCTCCTTACAAAAAGTGTGCCGAGTATTTCCTCCATTTTAGAGATGAGCAAACCGAGGTACAAATAGATGGAGCGGTGTTCTCAAAGTCATTCAGTTTAACACAGTTTGGTATATGAACCCAAATTTGGTGAACCATAAAACCCCTGTTTTTACACCATATCTCTTATAAGTACTTGCAGCAGAAGAAACATGGGGAGAGGGGAGAGTTCATCAGATTATTCTAGGTGTTTATCCTCCCCTTTTCTTTTTCAAGACTTTCTTAAAAGATACATTTTGTCTACCCCTGTACAATTTATCAGATCCTATAAACCAACCAACATTCCAAAGCTGCCGTCTTTTAGCACTAGTAAAAGTGGCACCTGAATTCTTTGACTTTGAAAGCCAAAATCTAAATAATGACATCCTCTGCCGTGTGTTTCCTTTCTTTAAAAAGGTCTTGTTTGGGAACACTTAGTGTTACTTGCTCATAGACTTTGTCGTGTACAGTTTCCAAACTGACACTTCTCAGTGGAGCAACCAGGAACCTTACTGTGTGGTTTTGGTATGTGCTGTTGGAATAAGTTTGTTTTATCGATTGCAGCTGCCTTGATTTGGCACAACCCATTTGTCATGACTCATTCTGCAGCTATTATTGCTAAATGTAATGTTTTTCTGGGGTGGTGTGGGGTTTTGAGCAATTACACACCAGAGACTAATCTATCAATAGCCAGGCAACTGTGAAATTTTGAAATGGGAAAGATTTACATTAGGAACTTCTGGATAGTTTCATGAATGCAGATATTTCTGTTCAGTTTAGAGCTGCATGTTCCTCAGGCCCAGGATCTAGTATGGGCGGAGGTCTTGGTGGAGGGGGAGATACTGTAAGAATAATTAATTCAGTTCTGTGGTTTTTCTTAAGTCTCTAAGGTTTCTGTGCAGGTTGAAGAATTACACGAGAGTTAATGATTTAGCCAAAAAACAAACAAATCATGGAGATGGCCTTTATTAAAGAGGTTTAAAATCACTCTATTAAAGACTGATAGAGTTTTCTCTTTGAATTGTCTTTATTTAAAAATTGGAACATAATCATTACTTGGTCACAATAAATGAGCACTGATAAAAATAGCTAACTTTTGTGGGTGCTCATTCTGCACCTGCACTGTTCTCAATGCCTAGTACTGATCATCACAGCGGCCCTACAAGGTACGTACTATTATTCCAGTTTTCTCAGATGAGGAGAGTCAGGCGCAGAGAACCCAAGTTACTTGTCTAAGACCGAAGACTAGTAGGTAGCAGCCAAGGTGGCCTGGCCCCAGACTCGCTGCTTCAGCCCGCGCTGTGCTGCCTGCCTCTTGTAACAGGATTGTTCAGAGACTGAAATATCCAGGGCTTGTGTTTCTAGACTGTTGAGCTATGTGGTTGCTTAGTCAATTAGTACAGATCCAAGTATTCTGTTAGAACTGAGGAGCCCCTGTGAGCTGGTGTAGGTGAGATGTTGTAGAGGTTATTTTAGCATCCCTTTCTAAAACTTCTACTTTTCGCATCTGACGGCAGATCCCACCTCCAGCTGGGACCCTCATCTATCCACTGGCCGATCGCAGAGTGTCCCCTACCTCCTCTCCAGAGCATCATTCCTTTGTATCTGCTGCCAGAGCCACGGTGCCATTTACTCCAAGGACTAACTTTCTAAGATTCCACACCTGGAGTGACCTCTAGTCGCTCAGCATCCACTTTGTGTCTCCAAATTGTGTAGGACTCTGTAATCTTTTGATTAGTTTCTGAGAAAACACAATGAAGCATTTCACTTTTTATTCAAAGCCATTAATAAAATAGGCCGTTGGTTAGCCCAACACAAAGTTTCTTTCTTATCTGCCACCAGTACCAGTGGTTCTCTTCATTCCAGGGGCCAGCTTCCCAGGTGGCTCTCGACTTCCAGTCACATCTCAGCCAGTGTTCAGTCTTATTTCCCTCAAATTCATAAAATGCTTTTCTCCAGGATTTTGGTGAAAGGTAGGCTGTGTCTGTGGTTTTGCTAATGCATCTCCCGGATTTCAAAGAACTACCAGTTTTGCCATGACTAAAATCTTAAAGATCTGTTTCTGCTGTTCAGTTTCTTAAACTGAAACTCATTGGAAAAATAATGTATGATGTTATTTGTTTTATGATAGTAATTATTCCTAATTAAAGCAGTATTTAATGCAATTTCCAGTTATTTTTCTTTGGAGAATTTTGTTATTATTGCATTACCTTGAATGTTGGGAAGATGTAGTATGTGTTGCGTGTTCCTTACAAAAATAAGTAAGCACAATAAAGTGGATGCTAAACCATCAAACATAAATGTCCCTGCTGTGTCCCTGAATGTGTAATAAGCAAGTATAATAAATATTTTAATTATAGTTTTGTTATAAATATAACTTATGAGAAAAGAAATTTGATAGGAATAATACTGTATATTGCTAATTTTTAACTGTCCCTACTGGCAAACCTTATGATTCATAGACTTTCCTCATATACAGTATTCAGTGCACAGAAATCTTATGATTGGTTCAAATACAGTAAGTCAAATGATTTCCAACTAAAACTCTCAAGTCTGAGTCAGTGTTTCAAGTTCTTTTGGCTGTATGTTCTTAGTATTGGGGTTTCTTATGCCCTTCCTTCATCTTTGGGGTTTGAGAGCACTGTTTTTGGGAGAAAGTTCAGAAATATATTAGGAGAGAATGAAACAGTTAAAAGTTTTACTTTCAGAGATACTGTAGGTGCTAATACTGGATTTAATCTTTCAGATTTAGTTTCTTTTATGGATCTGTTATTCAGTAAATCTCATCAGTCTGTGTAATATTTTAATTGTATAAAATTCCTTTGTTACGTTAGAGCCTGTAATAGTGTGTCTGTCTGCCTTTTAAACCTGTTGCAATAACTTTGCTGAAATAAGAACACATTAGTAAAACTTTTCTTAAACAAATTGTCTCTGTGTCATATCTGGTATGGTTTGGTAAAGTGATACGGCATTAAATTTCGCAGATAAACAATACTACTAGAATCGGTGCAGCTTAATGTTTTCCAGCAAACATCTTACAGTCATCACACTTTTCCACTTTTTACATGCTTTATCTCCTAAGAGACAGATATGTTAGCTAAGTAGATAAAAACAAAGAAGTCATCCCTTAGAGTCAAAAATGTATTCAATTAAAGAAATAAAAAGATGTTTCATTAAAAATAAACTATCAGTAATTGTTACTATCTTGGATCATCTGATGACTTTTTTAAGATGAAATGCATTAGTAGAGAATAACTGCTTATAAAATACAGTCCATATTCTGACTTTCATGAGATTATTTTTCTTTATAAAAGTCAACTTCTTTTTCCTACCCAATTACACTAGCAGGAAATGGTACTCATAAAGAAGGCCATAAGATCCTGCCTGGCTCCTACCATAAAGTCATGGTTTTGCAAGAGTAACATGCTTTATTTTTCACTTTGTTGTTTAAGTCCATATAAGGGAGGTCAGAGTATTAGTGCTATGTATGATTTATATACAATGATCTCCCCTTCCCCTTGCCATACGTCTCCTTCCCCATCCTAATCCTTCTAATTCCATGAGGGCAGAGGAGGTTTCTAGTTACCCTTGCATCTGTCCCTAACTCGCAAGCATCATCATGCAGGGGGATACACCTACTCAATACGCATATTTGCTAAGTGAATAAGATACAGGCTGCCGGGTAATTAGCCCAGTTACTTCACTACATCTTGAGGTGTTTGACTTGTATACTCCCTCTTGTAAAGTTACAAGATTGGAAAGAGATCTGTGGCTTAAACTCTATTAGAATAGGCTTTTTTGCACAGAGATAACTACTCTCAGTAGGAGAAAGTCACCTTTCTCCTGTAGACAGGAATTCCCAGGGAAAGGAAAAGAATTACATTCAAAAAAATTTGAAGTACACAGATCTGTAAATACAGATAACCCTCTGCGTAACCCTCCAACTTGTCCTTTGTCCTTTTTTTTTTATTCTGTAGATCCCTGACATTGCCCATAAGTGATCCCCATCCTCATCAGTGCTTGCTTGGAAGATAAACCAATAAATACAAGCATTACACAGTGACCCACCTTAATCTGCAAATGTGTAATTGTGAAGGATTTTCTTCTTCCACCAAAGCTGTTGCGAGTGGTTTTACAATAGTACACCACAGTACTCAAAACTTGGAAATGTGTACAAGATAGCAAATATGTCCAGTGAATTGTGAATGTCAAAATGTAGGTTCCATACCACCTAAGTTCTTGGATCAAGTTTGCTTCAAAATGAGTAAACACAGAATTACATGACTGTAACACAGGTTATAGCTCTTTGTCTTAAAGACTTAAGTTCTTCCCATATATCTCAAATGGTGCAGATATGAGGTTTTATGAAATTCTGCCTCCAAGCCTTGTAAGAATTGAATGCCTACTTTAAAAAAAAAAAAAAAAATTTAAACCTCCACTTCACAAAAAGAAATAATTTTATGACTCAGGCACAACCAAAGATTTTGGTTAAGGGTCATTGTCAGAACGAGTTTATGCCAACAGAATTTGCTGAGTTTTTAAAAAGAGCATCTGAGCAATGTGTTTATTGACCTTATAAGAACTTACTTAACTTTGTGCTGTCACTTTTTTTATGTGAAATCTTTAACCTCTAGAATCATAAATCACCTTGCCTTTGAAGAATTTATTTATTTGGTTGTGTCGGCTACAAAGATTTAAAAGAAGAAGAAGAAGTGGTAGGGCGCCTGGGTGGCACAGTCCGTTAAGCGTCTGACTCTTGGTTTTGGCTCAGGGTGTGATCTCAGGGTCATAAGATCGAGCTTCATGTCAGGCTTTGCAATGGGGGGAGTCTGCTTGAGACTCTCCTTCCTCTGCCCCTCCCACTCATGCTCACTCTCTCTAAAATAAAATAAATCTTTTAAAAAAGGGGGGAGTGCTAAAAATCAGCCCATCAACTGCCAAATCTGTTGCTCTTGATCTTAATGTTTCTCTTCTTGTATATTTTCTTACCTCATATTTTCACAGACCAATTTATTGCCAGGAAATGAACATAATTTGTATTCAAAATGTTTTGGCAATCAGTCTTCTGGGAGCAACCAAATGCCAAACAACATAACCGTAGCAGTTTCGATTCTGTGATATACAAGGACTCAGAAACGGATGTAATAGGACCTTTTCTTCCCAATTAAAGGATTGGTGGCCATATTTGCATATCTGTGTATCTCATACAATGCACAAATGTTTTGTTTAGTCCAATTCCTAATTTAGATGTTTGAAGGATTATGTGCTTGAAAAAGCAACATTATTATAGGTGTGACTGTCTACTTTTAAAATGAGTGATGCTTCAGTTAAACAATAAGGAAAGGCCTAACAGCATGCTGTGGGCATTTTTAATACTGCAGAAAAAGATCTTCACTTAACGTCTAATTATATGGAGGGACTACATCAGGATGGGAAAAATCACCTTTTCAAGTAACCAGAATTCCCAACAGAAACCATATTAACAGAAACTTTACCAACCCCTGCCGGCAAGAGCTACATATTAAAAATAATCAGATCCTTGATAGAGATTCTGTGAGAAAACTCTAAGGGGGGAAAAGGGTTGCTTATGTATATTGATTTCTATTCCCAAGTACTAGGTAGGTTTTGCAGGGACCACAATTTTTCTATTTGTCGAGGTAATGGGCAGCGTCAAGATAATACTGCAGCTGCGTATTAACTATATGTAACAGTTAAAGGCAGAAAGTAAAAATGCCTCTGGGACTGGAGAAAGCATTTAGGGTCAAATTTAGTCTACTCAATTCATTCTACAGACAGGCTTATTAAGAACTTAGAAAATTATTTGCCTAACAAAGTCCTTATAAGGTTTTTTATGGAACTTGACATGCTGATTCTAGAAAAAGTGAAGAGACCTGTCCTACAACTAGCAAGATATATTAAATTGTAGTCCTTAATATGGGGCATTGGTACGAGGACAAGCTCACCGAATAATGGAACAGAATAGAGACCTAGATGCACACGCAAGTTTGTCTGGTGGGCTGGATAGTCTCCTTTGGGCCCTCCAGATCCTTTCTCCTCCATGTGCTCCCTTAGGTTCTAGAAAACTGATCCCTGCAGACAGTATCAACCAAGTACCCTTGGCCTGTGGCTTCCAGTAGGGTTCAGCCAGTGGGAAAAATCAATGAGCAGGAATCTAAGCAAGGTACACTGATTCATAGGAGTGGCTGGCTGGCTAGCTGCTTAGGGACCAGGGAGGACAAAAGTAGAAGAGTACAGGAATGCTCTGTGGAAGAACCTCTAGGAACTGTCTCAGAGTGTGAAGAAATGTACATGCCATGTAAATGCCCACCCACTGCAGAGAGGGTCTCACTGTGGATGTGGAAAGTGCTCTGATGTCATTCAGACTCTTCCCAGCCCTCCGGTGCTTGCTCATTGGGACCATGTAAAATGGTCATGGCAGCAAGAATGGAGGCCACACGTGACTCAACAGCATTGACTTCCGCTCATTATGACTGATTCGGCTACTGCCACTGTCCAGGGCACAAATGGCCAACCAATGCTAAGCCCCCAAGCTGGTAGTATTCTCCAGAGGGGGTTTTGATTAGATCACACTGGACATTTTAATTACTGGGCACTGTGTTTTGTGACTTAGAAAGATCACGGGACTTACTTTTTTCAACAGAAGAGTATCAAGAGTAATCATGGACCTTCCCTAGTTTTCCTCCAGGATAGGGGAAGAGCTATACCCACCCAACAAATCAATGTAAAGGGACAAAAGTACTATTGGAAACAGAAAGTTGCTTCATTATTATAGTCCATGAGTTATCCTAATTGATATGCATATACATAATTTGTATATTATTACCACATTACTTTGGGATATATACAGCTGTGGTAAAATATGTCCCTCTGCCTGGGAACCATGAACACTAAGGTGACTGAAGCTGGGAGGAGAGAGAATGGGGTCGGAAAGAAGAGCACAGGGCTTAGATTGAATTTGTAATATTAAACAGCTTCTTATTTTCTATACATTTTTAAATTTAACAAATTTTATTACAACAGCATGTTGTAATTAAACAGCATGTTTACTGGGCTTTGCTAGTTTGGACACAATACCCACACCCCCTGGGATTTCACTCAGGTCTCTATTTCCAATTTCCTCTAAGCATTCAGGCCTGTTTGTCTCGTTGGCCTCATTGTCAAGAAGCACTAGCGTCTTGAGTTCTGCTACTTCTAAATACACCAAAAAAGTGAAAAATACTGACAAGGGGCTTTTTCCTGCTTACAGATATGTGAGTAGCCTTTCAAAATAAACGAATTGGGGGGACGCCTGGGTGGCTCAGTGGGTTAAGCCTCTGCCTTCAGCTCAGGTCATGATCTCAGGGTCCTGGGATCGAGCCTCGCATCGGGCTGTCTGCTCGGCAGGGAGCCTGCTTCCTCCTCTCTCTCTCTCTGCCTGCCTCTCTGCCTACTTCTGATCTCTCTCTGTCAAATAAATTAAAAATTTTTTTAAAAATTAAAAAAAAATAATAATAAATGAATTAGGGGCGCCTGGATGGCTCAGTAGGTTAAAGCCTCTGCCTTCGGCTCAGGTCATGATCTCAGGGTCCTGGGATAGAGCCTCGCATCGGGCTCTCTGCTCGGCGGGGAGCCTGCTTCTCTCTCTCTCTCTCTCTCTCTCTCTCTCTCTCGCTGACTGCCTCTCTGCCTACTTGTGATCTCTGTCAAATAAATAAATAAAATCTTTAAAAAAATAAAAATAAAAATAAAATAAATGAATTAAACTTACAGCCCAGAAGCAGCATATAGCCAAGGAGTAAAGTTCAGGGTCAAGCAGAATTTCTCATGTAAACATGTCGGAGATGAAAGAAAGAAGCTGACTAGGAAACTTACACTCTCACTTCCCCATAAACAGGGACAAATCCAAAGTCACTTCAGCCTT